TGGAAAACAGCACACAGCCATGCTGGCGGTCCCTCTCTAATCGCATGACCATGAACCTCAAGTGAGCTCTTGATGTTGCAGACAACTGTACAGTGCTCCTCGAACACATCTATTTTCCTACCTTCCTAAATGACACTTTTCACTACCATCTCTCTTTTACATCCTGTCAAAGTTGACAAATCTACACCTGTCCCATCCCTACCACCCTATTCCAAACTACTGACATTCTTCACCTCAAGTGCTGAAATAGCTTCTAACTGGACACGCTGTCTTCATTCTTGCTCCAACATAAGCTAATATGGTGTTTTTATTTTAATCCAGAGTGCTGATTCACTATACTCTCTATAGTCTCAAAACCCTCTATAGTCTCTTTATTCTACTTAGGATAAAATCCTACCATCACACATAAGGCCCAACCTGACCTGGTCTCTGCTGCCCCACTCCTGTATAAATCTTCATTTATCCTTCTTATATAGTGAAAATTAATACAGAATTTAGGTTGATAAATTAGTTCATTATTGGGAAAAAAATGGGATTTGGAAATGCAGACTATTTTGAAGGCATTTGCTGTCTCAAGAATTACTGTTTAGGGCATTCCCTGGTGGTACAATGGGTTCATGCACAGCACTGTGAAGCTATAGCAGCCACTGCAGCATGAGTTCAATCCCCAGTTAAGGAGGTGACCCACATGCCATGGCAGACCTCTCCTGATTTGCCCGCTGCTCCTCTCAACAGTGTATTTCAGTGAATCTGCCTTGTTCTTACTCCCCACTCTGTCTCTGGTGAATCCTCTCACTCCCTGCACCACTGACCTGTACCCCACTTCTGTATGCATAAATAAATAAATAATTTTAAAAAAAGAATTCCTCTTACAAAATCTCTAAGTAAGGTAGATTTAACTAAAATGAAAGGATCTCTCATTAATACTGATAATGCTGAAGAAGAGAAAACACACACACACACACACACACACACACAGCAACACTCACCACCTGAAAGACAGTTCAGAAATAACTGTGGACCTTTAAAAACTAAATTTATGAAAATTTGCCCCTCCTTATACCTGCTAAACACATCCAGTTTCTCATCATGAGAATTAAGATGCTGCTGCAATTGTTCTGAGCTTACAAATCGGCGGTTACATTCATAACAGGGCCAATTCTTTTCTTGCTCTCGAAGAACTATAGTCACAGGAGAGAAAGCACAAAGGCTGATGATCAATAAACAACAATAAAACTCAAATGCCCAGTTATCCCCACCATTCTCATCTCATTGTCTTTATAAATATAAAGAATCTGCTATTTACATTGTTAATTTGTTACAAAAGCAAAGGCAAAGTTCGACAGAAAGGTGGAAATTAGAATATTATTTTCTTATATATTCATTATGACATCAAAGGAATGAATACCCTTATACTACTTTCTCCCACCCATCACACACACACACCTGCCCCCACGCATACAACCTCACCACCCTGGAAAGACATAAAAGTGTTACCATGGAAATTCATATTCAGATAAATACTGAAACAGATCCAAGTTTCATAACATGAGGTGCATTTCATTACTAGCAACTTGAAAAATCAATGCCCAATACAATCACATTAGCAAAATGGCCAGCAGTATGTACTAAAGCTGACTGTACGCATACCCGGTGACCCAACAACTCAACTCCAACTGTGAGTCCCGCCAAAACATGCACATAGGTTCACTAAAAAGCGTATGTAAGAATGTTCACAGTGGCATTCTTCATAATAACCAAAATCTAGAAACAACCCAGTCGTATAATCAATTGGGCTGGATTTTGTCCCTGGTTCCTGGGAAATAACATCTAAGTCTTTGGAATTTCCCAAGTGATTAGAACGTCCTTGTAATTCCTGGTGTCTCTGATCAGACCTGAGTTTAAGCTAATGTGGGTTGGCTATTCAAGAAACCCAGCCAATGATTGCAGGGTTGGGGCTTTGAGCCAGGTGATATCAACCAGAAAGGGGAGCTGAAACTGCAGGGTAAGTGCCATAACAGGGCCAATGTGCCCATTGGTCATGCCCAAGTAATGGTGCCTCAATAAAGACTCTGGGCACTGAAGCGCAGAGGCGCTTTCCTGACTGGTAATATCACATCAGTGTGCCAACGAGGATGCAAGAAGAATCTTGGGAAAATCTCTGCCTTTGAATTGGGACCTAGCACCAGCAGATGAGAACAGTGCTGCACCATACACCCAAATTTTCAGCTACAGTAGATACATGAACTGTGGTGCATTCATACAACAGAACACCAAACAGCAGTGGGAATGAACAAACTACAGCAATACACAACAGGGATGCATCTCACACACAATGTTGAGCAAAGATGCCCAAACACTGAAAGTATACATATATAATTCTACTCATATAATTGTCAGTAACGAGCATCTAATATCTGTGGTCCTGGAAGTCATGAGTCTCATCATACTTGGGAGTAAGAAGGAGTCAGAGTGGGCACAGGGGTTTCTGGGGCACTAGTCATGTTCTGTTTCTTGATATGGGAGCAGGTTCCATAGGTGTGTCCACTCTGTGAACATTCGGAGCACTATACACTTGCTCAGACACTGCTGTAAGCATATTCCACTGAGATAACACTTCCATCAAAGCAGCCAGCGCCTGCCTGCCTGCCTTGCTATGGCCTCAACAATCACAACCAGACAGGATTGTCCTCTAACCCAGGTTCTAATTTAGTATTTAGAGGTTTTCATTATATTAAGTGCTAATTTCCGGTCCCAGAGAAGAAATGCCAATGTATACCACTGTCATTTGATCCTAGAATTTGACAGAGATGTGCGGCTCTAAAAAAACCTACTGGAATAACCTGTTAAGTACATCAAGGTGGAAAAAGTAGAGGGTACATAAAGGCTGAATACATGCAATTTAGAATTCACATAGGAAATACAGAATCTTTAAAGAGTCAACCACCTTTCCTTTCTTCCTCAGAAATGTCATGAATTTTCTGGTTCACAAACTCAGCATAGGAGGCAGCATACCAAACCTGCAAGAACGAAAGAGATCATCAAAAACTACAGGACGCGCCAGGTGTTCCCGACATGCTTAAGTTCTTTCTCCTGCTTACGAAAACAAGTCAGGCTTTCCCACTTCCCACAAACAAAAAAAAAAGCAAACAACAAAAACACACCCCACAGTGTGAACCAACCCCTTTGACATCAGTTTGCAGATGGCCAGTCATGAAATTCACTTGCCAAGACACACAACATGATTTATTACGTCTTTTAAAATAAAATGTCTTTGTTATTAGAACAACTCCACAAGAGATTAAATTTATAGTCTCTTCAGCTAAATAAAACAGCCTCTTCTGGTTTTTAATCTGTATTTCAACAAAGATTTTTTACACAGCTGTAATCACAGTTGCTTCCACGCCAGCCAACATGCCATCAAACTACTTTGACTAGGGTCACCAAGTGTGTCAAATGCTGTCCCACTGCTGAGTGTCCTCCTACGCCACTGCCTGTCTGGCTCTTCCTCCACTCCCTGATTATAAACTTTGGTGGTCCTCAAAGGTTAATCCTAGGCCAGAATATTCTTATTTTTCCTTAAGGTCATTCCACCCATTTCCAACCATCTCAGTGCTTATAGCTCCCAAATTCACACATCCATCCCAGACCCTCCTCCCTCTGTCCCCGCTATGTACCTGCTTCCACCTGCCTGACATTTTGGATGTTTCACAAACTGCTCAAATGTTCAGAACTGAATTCTAGGCTCTTCCCTTATCATACCCCTGCCTTTCTTAGCCATCTCAATGAACATCCTGATTCTACCCCACTGCCCAGACTTGAAACCTCAAGGGTATCGTTGATTTCTGTTTTCTTCTGTAACCCTTCAGCAACAGCTACTGATTGCTCAGATGTTCTCCATCTCTACTTCTCTCACCTGGACGAGTGCCGAGACAAGCGGGTGCCTGGATTTCTACCTGACCTGCTAACAAGACCCTTCTTTTTCACTCTTCTGCCAACGCAGCATGGTCTTCTTAAAACACAGTCAGAGTTCATCATTCCCAAGCTTAAAAGGCAGCAGCAGTTCCTTATTTTACAATAAACCTGAAATGCTCCAGGGTTTCCAGACCCTGGATGGTCTCCAAAGGGTTCTGTGGTCTGCCCCTACATCCCTAAGCAATTAGCTCTTACCACACTCCTTTGCCTCCCCTTCAGCCAAAGGCCCAGCTGGCAGTGTGCCAAGTTCTTTCCCACCTCAACCTCTGCCTTTTTTGTTTCACCAGCAGGAAGGCTTGGTTCTCCCCCCCCCCAACCCACTGTCACCTCCATTCCACAGTTCTCAGTCTAAATATCTTATCTTCTGCAAGATCTTCCCTATCTATCACCTCCAAATCAGTCCCTTCCCTGTTACTTGCTTTTACATTTCCTTGGTAGCATTTACCACATTTGATATTATTTGCATTTACATCTTTCCACCTACCTCCCTTCTAGAATGTAAGTTCCCTAAACATAAGGAAATCAATCTTTCTTTTCCTAGTGACTATAGGAGGAGTTCACATTAATCACTACAGAAATTAATCATACATAACCATTACATATGACATTAACTACATGGAGATATATATTTACCTAGGAAATATTTATATTGAAAATATTTATTTTTTAACTATGGGATAATTTATATGGAATTTCCATTCTATAATGTACTTAATCATGATCTTGTTGGCTGAATTTTTATCATTTTGCTTATGTAAATTCTATCCTATTACATCTTTCCAAGATGAGTGTATTTCATATTTTCTTATTTCAAAAATCAGACTCATAACATATTAGTCTTTGCCACAATGCACCTGTCACTGCCTCCTCATTGCTCCTGCACCCACCTGTGCAAATCTTTCCTGTTGTTCTCACTTCATTCAGTCCTGCCCCCTAGTGACATCCCAGAGCTGTTAGCACTTGTCAAGCAACATAATGAAGGGGAGTGGGAAGGGAAATTGCCATCTTCCTCAGAATAAATAAATTTCTAAGCAATTCAAAGCTGGTGTGATCACCCTGCAGGAATTCTCATTAAGATTGCAAACATCAAAAAGAAGAGTATAAAAATATGGGAAATTTAAAAAGAAAAAAAAATAGTAAAAAATATGGCATGACAAAATGCTAATGTGTCTAAGCCCTCACTTTGTTTATAATTATTTCCTTAGAGTACTTTTCAAGGAGGACTGGGTTTCAAGGTTTAGGCTTACTCAGCCAAGAATATTTTTGCCGTATGCTGCCAAAAATAGTCTGCAGAATTTTGTAATTCTGTAATGAATGATCCATTTTTTTTAATTCTCACATTCATTGTATCATATCCATTTATTTTTTTCTAGCTAAAAAATAGTAACAGCTATTTTAAGGGTTTTAAAATTATCAATGCTGGAACAATTTTAATATTTCTTTATTATTTAATTTTTCCTCCAAATAAAATCTACTCCTGGCATTTGTCCACTTATGCCTCAGGATTTAGCAGTGAAGTTAGCAGTGTACAAATTCTGTGTCTTTATATTTCAATCATACATTACAATGATTCTGCTGCTTCCTTTTTAACTATTGTTTCATCAGTTGTTCATTATTCTGAAATACTATACATTTTTTAATTATTACTGCCTGTCTTTCCCTCTACAGTTCTACCTACTGCTTTAAATGACAAGACCAGGGCCTCCCTGGCGGCCTAGGGGTTAAGTCTTAAAGCTATCACTGCTATGGCCTGAATATGATCCCCAGCCAGGGAGCTGACCCACGTGGCCCAGCAGACAGCTACTGTCTCACCTGCTGCTCCCCATCAGCAGTGTATTTCAGTCAATTTGCCTGTTCTGCTCCTCACTCTGTCTCTGATGAACCCTCTCAGCTCCTGACATCTTTGGCCTACACCCCAGTTCTTCTATGCAAAAATAAAATTTAAATTTATTTTTAAAAATTAAAAAAAATAAAATGATCTTCTATCATTAAGAAGAACACTAATTCTGTTTTGCTATTTTTATACATTTTCATTTGGATTTATGGGTTATATAGCTGACGATTTCAAAGACGTGGGTTTTGTGCAGATTTGAAACAAAGTCTAGGTGTTTGTTCTCCTCACTGAGAGCTCTCTACTTCTCACCACTACTGAAGCACCAAGCAATGCAGTGTTGCTGTACTGACAGGACCATCATCATGTATTTGTCACTGATATCAGGAAGAGACAGAGTCCTTTCACCCCTCTTTTGGCCATGTTCCTAACACAGCTTTTACGGAGAAGGAATTCTCAGTTAAAATCACAGCAGAATTTTATTATGACATCAAGACTTAAAATTTAGACACATTTAAAAGGATAGTTCTCAAATCAGAAGCTAGTGCATAGTACTCTTTAAGTAAAATAAAGCATTCAGATACAGCAAGGAAATCTTGCCCATACATTTCATAAGATCACCTGTTTCCCAACTAATTCTTCTTTAGAGTGTGTCAATGATGTCAAGTCACACCATTTTCCATCATCCCATCACAAATACTTCTCCCCAAAAGGACTATTTCCTTACTCCTAGTCATAGGTCTTCATGTAGAACTCTGATAGACCCAAATATCAGATAGCTGTAGGTGCCCAAGACATAGCATCTACTCAAGTAAATAAGATATAAGAAATAGACTATTTTAGTAAGAATCCTAGAAAGTGGGGAAAAGAATAGGAAAAGCAGAGAATAGTAAATATCCCTAGTGAAAGCCTCCTAACCCCAGTTCTGTACCTTCAGTTCTTGCTTGGGTTCTACATTCTTTATTGTTGTGTAATATACATGGTGGCCATATTGGTAAGCCACCAGGTTCTGCTCCAGGTGATTCTGGGCTGGACGAACAAACATCATCCAGTTACAAAGGGTCTCATCAGACAACTCAAACCACAGGTCTTCATGTAAGTCCCTGTCTTTCCTGTCTCCTTTATCAAGAGAAACCTGCAACCAAAGAGAATGTAAAAAGTCACACACATAACACCTATCAGATGACATAACACAGGAAATGCTGTTCCTTAAATTACCCATATATCCTGACTCTTCCCTTTGTATCTAGAAAAATAGTGAAATTATGTCTTGCCCAACATCAAAGAAAAGGATACTTATAAAAGACTCACCTGTAGGAGAATTACCTGGCGAAACCTAACAACCTGATTATACAGTTTTAGTTGATGTTTCATTAGCAACTAATAGACTTTTTTTTTTTAATCTGCAAATAAACCAGAAAATGCAAGTAAAATACTCTTCATTTCATTAAACTTGATTCTTTGGGGATCAACTGCATTTATTTATAGTGTGTAAGTTGGTGACAAGTATTTCTTTTTACAAAGTAATATTCTTTCCTGGAGATCTTGAGCATTCACAAGAAAAAATCTCCCCATGACAGCAGCTGATTTCTTAAAAAACAATATTTTTAAAATATTTTCCCTTCCTTCTGTCCTTTCTTGATATCCCAGAGTGGTTCTTCAAGAAGAAGGCAATTTAAAAAAAAGAAAAGCAGGTTGGAAAGAAGCAAAAGCACCGAATGTAAGGAAAAGACATCAGTAGAAATATTTCCAATACAGTGAACTACTCACTAACAAGAGTCAACAGGAGAGGCCTGTTTCAAAAATTCCTGAAAGTAGCACTGGTAACCAGCAGATGACATGAGTACTACATATGTCTCTTTATATTCCAGTCAAATCTGTTTTTTTTTTTTTTTTTAAAGCTGTCACAGCCACTGTTAAGGGCTGATTTGTGTTCTTCAAATTCATATGGTGAAGCCCTAACACTCTCAAAGTTGAGAATTTGACTATATTTGGAGACAGGGCTTTTCAAAAAAGGTGACTGAGTTAACACAAGCTCATTAGAGTGGGTCCTAATCCAATCTGACTGGAGTCCTAACAAGAGGAGGTTAGGAAACAGACACCAGGGGAACCTTTGCAGCAAGGAATGACCATGTGCAAAGGCAGCAAGAGAGTAGCCATCTGTAAGGCAAGGGGAGAGGTCTCAGAGGAAGCCATCACCGCCTGACCTTGATCCTGGCCTTCCGGCCTCCAGATTGTCAGAAAATAAATGTCTGTCGTTTAAGCCACCAAGTCTGTGATAATCTGTTTTGGCAGGCCTGGCAAACTGATACAACCCTTAACAACTACACCTTTTTTCCACTAGAATTATTCATCTAATGCCCTAGGCTAATTCCCTGAAACTGTAGTCTCCATTTTACTGGTGAGAGAAGAAAAATTTTCACTGAAAACAAATTAAGCATAGAAAGGAAAATATTACAAAGCAACTTCTGTGAAAAGGAATTAGGAGACTCAGGAGGAAAATGTATTCTCCCTTAAAAACCATTAAGAACAAGAGTGAATTATGATAAAGCATAAATTACCTTGAGATGAATATAACAGTCTTTCAGCTCAGACTCCCTGACGAGGGGTCCCTCCACGGGGCCAAACTGGGTGCGTTTGGGAATGCGTCTTTTGGAGAACACGCCCCCAAGAAACCTGTCAATGTAGAGGACCAGGGGGAGGCTGGCTCTGGCTCTGGTGAGGACCGGCCTGTTGGGGATGGGGTGTAAAGGGCCATGCTTCGGACAGACTGAAGAATGTGCATTGTTACACTCCTCACACCCTGCAAAAGAGCAAAAATCTTGAAGTCAGATTCCTCAACTTTACTTGAGCTCAGGTAATAAGTTTTTGTTTTGTTTTGTTTTGTTTTGTTTTAAAAGATTTATTTGTTCATACAGAACTGGGGTACAGGCCAGAGGCTCAGGGGCGGCGAGAGGCTTCACCAGAGACAGAGTGGGGAGCAGAACAGGCAGATCTACGAAGTACACTGTTGAGGGGAGCAACGGGCGGGTCAGGAGAGGTCTGCCACGCCATGTGGTCACCTCCGGGGCAGGCGGGAATCAAACTCAAACGGAAGTGGCTTTAGCTTCTCAGTGCTGTGCTTTAACCCGCTGCGCCACCAGGGAGGGCCGCAGGTAATAAGTTCTAACCTGAAAAATCCACAAGTTTAAGTCTTTAAGCCAAAATGAAGTAAAGTTCCAAAATCGCACCACCCATGTGATTGTAATACACCAGCTTTCATAGACCTATCATAAAGTCCTATCATTTCCCTCTAAAATCAGGCAAAAAATAGTATGCAGGCTGTGACTTCTTTCTCTAGTGGGGAGTAATCTGAATAGTAGCCACTAAATTAACAAGTCAACTATAACACGTCTGAAAAGAAAACAAGGGCTTATTTGACTAAATGTTGCAAAATCTAATGATACAAAATAAGTGAGTTTTATAGTATATAAATTACCTCAATAAAGGTGTTCAAAAAAACTTGACTATTCTTAATCTCTTCTCTCAAAGGGAGACATAGAAACCTCATTATCTGGGCCTGTCTGATTCAAACAAAGTGCTGTACAGTTTGAGGTATTGATAGGCACTGTGTAAAGATAAAGCTGAAAGGGATGAATTTAACATCTCAGCCTTCATGCATTTAAATGACATGACTAGCCCGGTCCTCCCAGGACATGTATTTCCAGCTCCCTATAGGAGTAATAAGTTTCACTAACCATCCACTTTCACTCCCTTTTCCTAATGATCCCCATTTATAGAGTAACTGTCAGAACTGAATGTGGATAGACACAAAACAGAAAAGTGACTGCACCACCCACAGATCACACTCACGAACCACAACCAATTTGTTATTAACCAATCATATGTTGTTGAAAGATTTATTTATTTATGCATACAGAACTGAGTTACAGGCCAGAGGTGCAGGGGTGGTGAAAGGATTCACCAGAGACAGAGTGTGGAGCAGAGCAGGCAGATTGACTGAAACACACCACTGAGGGGTACACCAGGAGAGACAGGAGAGGTCTGCCTTGCCATGTGGTCACCTCTGGGGCCAGGGTTTGAACTCGCACTGAAGCAGCTATGGCTAGCTTGCAGTGCTGCACCCTAACCTGCTGCACCACCAAGGAAGGCCAAACCAATCATATTTTATCCCAATCCAGCTATGTGATGACCTGGATTCTCAATCTCTAAAATTCTCCAGTAATGGAAAGCTTCTTTGCATTAATACTTATTAGATACAGTACCTGTCTATTTCACTATAGATTTACCTTGAAAACTTACACATTCAGGGCTTCACTCATGGCCTAGGGGTTAAGTCTCAGTGCTGCCACCAGCCAGGCAGACCTCCCC